AGGAGGAGGGGAAAAGGAAGGGGAGAGGAAGGAAGGGAGGAGGGAGAGGAGGAGGAGCAGGAGGAGGAGGGCTCCCAATGGCTCCCACCCCTCAGGTCTAGGCTGCAGCATTTAGCACAGGGACATCTGACCGGGGCCTCAAAACCGCCTGCTCTGGGCATAACAGCATGAGTAGCTTGTCCCTCTGTCATGCTGGGAAAGGAGGTCCCTTATCCCCTCCCCGCTGTGACACAAAGACAGAGAAGCTGGTGGTGGGGAACAGGCGACTCTCCAGTGCTGTGCACAGCCCCCCCCCCCACCTTCCCAGGGAGCCCGGGAAGACCGTGCCCCCAAGAGCTGGAGAGGCTGGTCCAGCCCCGTGGTTGCCATAGAAACCATTGAATGTAAATTTCCTTTTCTGCCTTGCCCAGCTAAGCTATCGATTCAGCAAGAGGGAGAGAAATGGGGAGCCCGCTTCCTTCCCCCCAAAGGGAAGCAAGAAGTGCAGACCCCAGGTGGAACCCCAAGTGTGGCCAGGGGTGCAGACCTAGTTGGGAAAAGATGGACGGCGGTGGGCTGAGGGGAGGGTGGGGCAGACGTGGAGAATTCCTCTCCATTCCCACTCACTTCCTGGCACAGGTAAGCGACACTCAAGGGATCGGAGCTGGTCTTCCCCAACAGGCTCTAGAATGTTCTCCCACTCTGGCCCATGCAACAACACGGACCAGCTGTGTGATCTGAGGCAAGTGGCCAACCCTCTCTGAGCCTGTTCTCTTGTACATAGAAAAATGGATAAAAATTGGCCTCTCTGGTACAGCCTTGTTCCCCTCCTCTCTCGCCTAAAATTCCTTTCCATGTATGTCACCAAGGACTTTAGCACCCAAGGAGGAGAATGTTGTCCCCAGAATCTGACATGGAAGAATTTGAGGTCACCTGTCAAAGAAGGTAAGAAGACCCCGAGCAGAAGAAACAGGTAAGTTTTGATAGAGCAACCTGGAGTAACATTCCAGAGATGGATCCTATGAGAGTTCGGTGGAGCCGAGCATGGTGGCACATGCCTGTCATCCCAGCAGCTCCGGAGGCTGGGGCAGGAGGATCATGAATTCAAAGCCAGCCTCAGCCAAAGTGAGGCCCTAAGCAACTCAGCAAGACCCTGTCTCTAAATAAAATACCAAATAGGGCTGGGGATGGGGCTCAGTGGTCTAGGGTCCCTAAGTTCAATCCCTGGCACCCCCGCCCCCCCCAAAAAATAGTCCTATCCAGTGGAGGCACAGACTTGCCAAATCCAAGTCTGGGGTCCTTTTGTGGGATGCCTGGTGCATCTGGACCCCTCCCCCCAGAACCAGACCTCCATTCTTCTAGATCTTTCGAATGCTGGCCATCCCGGGCTGCTGGGCTGGACCGAGCTAAGGAAGGAGGCTGCTTCTCCATCTGTGGCCTCTACCCGAGTCTGTGCATACTGGCTCCCCGAGGTGATCCAGGCCTGCCCGGGCTCCACGACATGCCAAAGGTACCCCTGTCACAGCAGTCCCCACAGCTGTACCCTGCAGAAACACTAATTGGAAAGTGAGACAAGCGAAATGCCTTTAATGAGCTACCTTGTTGTAACTCTAACTCGTCGGCGTTATTTACAGAGATTCTGCTAATGAGGTGCCTGTCACAGGGGGACCAGGGTGGGGGCGGGGACAAGGGACGCCCCGAGCCAGCCGCCAGGGAAGGAGCCACATCCCAAGGGAAGAGGGACAGGATGCGCTCACCTTCGGGGGAGAAGCCCTCCATCCATGTCCCCCCACCCCGGCCAGGGTTCAGACACCCCTTCTCCACTGCAATGGCCCAAGCTCTGAGCCCTGTCCCCAACAGGAGAGGGGTTCAGTCCATCCACCCATCTCAGGTCCCCTGGGAAGGATCTGGCCACGGTTTAACTGGGAGAGCCTGACCCAGCAGCACCGCCCACTTAGGTCAGAGGCAGAACTCGGCAGTGGTTAGGGCGGGGCTTAGCCTGGCAGGGGCGGGGCTTAGCCAGGCAGGGGAGGGGCTTTGCCTGTTCAGGGAGTGGCTTAGCCCAAGTTGGGGCGTGGCTCATCTTAGGTCTGGGAAAGGCTGAGTCCACTGGGGGTGGGGCTCACGCTGAGTTGGGCGGGGCTTTGGTTGGCTCAGGGGTGGGGCTTAGCCCAGGTTGGGGCGTGGCTCAGCTCACGTCAGAGAAGGGCTTAGCCCACTGGGGGCGGGGCTTAGCCTGCTAGGGGCGGAGCAAAGTCTCAGTTGGGAGGGGCTTTGCTTGGGTCAGGGGTGGGGCTTCACCAGGGTCAATGAGGGGCTTAGTAGGCAGGGGAGGGACTCAGCTTGCGTCAGGGAAAGACTTAGACTGCTGGGGGAGGGGCTTAGCCTACTAGGGGCGGGGCTCTGTCTCAGTTGGCAGGGGCTTTGTTGGAGTCAGGGGTGGGGCTTAGCCTGGGTTGGGGCGTGGCTCAGCTTAGGTCTGGGAAAGGCTTAGCCCACTGGGGGTGGGGCTTATCCCAGGCGTGGGGGCGTGGCTCAGCCTGAGTTGGGCGGGGCTTGGGCTGGATCAGGGTGGGGCTAACTAGACAGGGGAGGGGCTTTCCCTGGGAGTGGCTTAGCCCACGTTGGGGGCATGATTCAGCCTTAAGTCAGGGAAGGGCTTAGCCCACTAGGGGGCGGGGCTCTGCCTGACTTGATCACAATCGGAAATCATTCATTTATTGATCATCCCACACCATCTGACATCTCAGCATGATGAGATTTCAGTTCCCTGAGCGGGAACAGGGATGAGGCTTCATCCGGGTCAGTGAGGGCGGGGCTTAGCAGGGCAGGGGCGGGACTCAGCTTGGGTTAGGGAGGAGCTTAGCCTGGTAGGGGGTGGGGCTCCACCTGAGTTGGGCGGGGCTTAGCGTGGAATTGGAGAACTGGGTCAGTTTGCAACTGTATCAATTTGTAACTCTCCATTTGTGGCTCAAATAAGAGCTCTAATCATCGATCTTCTTGTTTCATCTGCAAAATAGGGATCATAAAACTTGCTTTTCTGGAATATTGTGGGATCCTAAGAAAAAGTTTACCTTGCAAACTGTAAAGCGCCCAGTGTCTGTCTCACTGTCGCTGTAAGTGTGGGGGGTGGATCCTGTGCTCACATCTCTCATGACAACCAAGTGCTCCACCCTAGCAGGGCCACTTGGCTGGCTGATCCCATCCACTGGGCTCTGGGCTCCCTTCTCCCCTATTCTAGTCCCCTCCCCTCTCTCCTACCACCTGTCAAGATTGGCATCTCTTTAATTATAGCGTCTGTGTGTGCTTCCTCCTGACAGCCACCTATTTAAAATGAAAGTCAAACACTCAGAACTTTAAGAGTTGAGTCTTTGGGGAAAAAAAAAAAACATGCATTAATTGCCAAATGTTGCTAATTTCACTCTGATCAGAAAAAAAAAGAGATAGATATAATTTTTTTCCCCTCCAAGAGTACCCATGAGATCAGCAGGAGCTTCAGTCTGGCGTCACAATGTCACAGCCAGACAAAGTTCATCTGGGGAGCTCAGCCTGCCAAGCCCCTCCCGCGTTTCGCGGATGAAGAAACTGGGACACAGAGAGGTTAAGTGAGTTGCTGAAGGTCACCCAGGAATCGCAGAGCCAGCGGAGCGGAGCTGGAGTTGGTGCCCACCGGCAGCAGCTGGTGGATTCCCAGGAACAAAAGCGGGTGCATTCCTTGCGCATATCCTTGCACCGGGCCATCTGGGCTGCTGCCCGCCCTGCGGGGCTGCTGTGTTTGCAAGTGCCGCCTGCCAAGGGGGCCTTGTCCAGGACAAGGGGCCTGGGGAGACCCTCCTCTGAGGCTGGGGATCTGTCCCTGGGTAACCAGAACGCAGGTTCAGCCTCCCTCAGCGACCATCTGCAACAGCTCAGCAGAGGCATCAGGGAGTTTGGCTGGTAAGCAAGCTTGTCACTGTCCCCTATGGAGGGACAGAATCCGAGGAGAGTGCCTGGAGCAGTCAAGGAAATTGTTGTTTTTTGGTTTTGTTTTGGTTTGGTTTTTGGTACCAGGGGTTGAGCCCAGGAGAGTTGAGGCTGGACTCCAACTTGCAATCCTCCTGCCTCAGCCTCCCAAGCCGCTGGGATTCCAGGCATCTGCCGCCGTGCCCGGGCTGATGACATGATGTTTGACAGCGAGTCTACATCTGGTTTCTGAATGTAACGTGTATCCTGGGCCACTTCCTGCAGGATCTCAAATCCTCAAGACTAACTGCTCATCTTCAAAGATGAGGTCATCAGGGATCAAAGAATTGCCTGATTAGAAAGGGACAGGTCTGGCCTGACATGGTGGCCCACGCCTAGAATCCCAGCGGCGGCTCAGGAGGCCGAGACAGGAGGACCGCCAGGTAGAGGCCAGCCTAAGTGACAGGTGTCGCTTGTCACTCAAAAGGCAAAGAAGACTTGTCGGGTTTAGAATCACAAAGAACCTTGGCCAACCGGGGACCGTCCTTGGTCCCCCCCGGGGTGGAGGAGCCTGAAGCCCCTTTGTTCAGCAGCCTGGTTTGGGGAGCACGTCCGGGGTGCGCGTGGGAGTCTGGCTGGACCTCTGCTGCTCCTTAGTGTTTCTGGGCCTCAGTCTAACCCATCTGTAAAATGGGCGTGTGGATACCTATGGCATCATGGGGCCTTGGCAAATTGGATAAAGCCCCGGGGGCCTGGGGCTTAGGTCCACGCCATTAGAACCCAGATGGACAGAGCTGGAAAAATGTTCTAGAGTCTGACACTTTTGTACTTTAGATGGGAAACTGAGGACCGAGGGGGAAGAATTTTAGACACGAGTGGCAAGGTCATGGCTGTGGTGGGTGCTTACCCACTGAGCCCCATCCCCAGGCCTTTTTGTTTTTTTATTGAGAGACAGGGTCTCGCTGAGTTGCTTAGGGCCTCCCTAAGTGGCTGAGGCTGGCCTCCACCTTGCGATCCTCCTGCCTCAGCCTCCGCAGCTGCCGGGATGTGACAGGCACGCGCCCCTGTGGCCCACCATGCCTGCGGGTGATCCCAACTACTTGGGAGGCTGAGCTAAGAGGATGGCAAGTTCAAGACCAACCTGGGCAACTTCCAGGAACTCTGTCTCAATTTTTTAAAAATATAAAGGGCTGGGAGTGTGGCTCAGTGGTTAAGCACCCCTGGGTTCAATGCCCCCCCCCCAAAAAATGGCATTGTCCCAACCTGAGCTGGTCCCCCTCGCTGCTGTAGTGCTCTTAATGAAGGCCACCTCTCTGCCAGAGCAAAGAACCAGAGAGAGACAGAAATGTCACCAGAGATCCCCCCCTGGGCACAGAGACCCCGTCTGTCCCTATTTGAGTCAGAGGCAGTGTAGACACAAGAGGTAGGCGGGCGACAGAAGGAGCCACCGAGAGACACGGGATGGGGAGGGGAGGTGCCCAGCAGATGGAGGCCACGGGCTGGGCGCAGAGGGTGGGGGAGGGGAGGTGTGCAGGGGACAGAAAGGACCAGAAGCAGCGCCAGAGGCCGGGAGCGCGGCAGGGAGGCTGGAGGGGGTCGGGCTGGGAGGCTTTGAGGTCGCCTGAGCACCTCAGGTTGCAGCCCCGGGCCAGGCGCCCTGCCGCACCCCCAGCCTTTGTCCTGCGGCTGCAGCGACGTTCTCACGGGTCGAGAGCGCCCCCTGCCGCGCGGAGAGGTTGCTGCAGCGTGGAGCGCCCAGTCGAAGGGACGCGGGGGGGGGGGGACCCGGGAGTCCCACAGAGTCTAGAGGACCAGGAAGGGCAAGAGGGGACCTCAGCAAGCCGGTCCCATCGCCCCGACCCAAATGCAAGGCTTTGGTTCGATGCCTCTGAGACAGACACCTGCAGCCTGGATGCCCAGCCTGTGGGCACTGCTGTTTGGGGACAGGGGTGGAGGGACCAAGTGGTCACCATTTCACACGGGTGATCCTCCCTGGGACTCCCACCCTAAGGGGACGCCCCTGTCTCCCGGCTCTGACATCGAGGAGTTCAGTCCATAAGGTGAACAGGGAGGACGATCTCCCCCAGGGACCATGGGTGTCCCCTTGATGGGACATTTCCTTCAGATTTATTTCCATTTAAAGACCTTCATTGACAAAGAAAACTAGATTTTTACAATGATTTTTAAAAAACCAAGATCCTGACGGGCGCGGGGGTGCACTTCTGTCATCCCAGTGGCTCAGGAGGCTGAGGCAGGAGGATCGAAAGGTAGAGGCCAGCCTCAGCCAGAGCGAGGCCCTAAGCCACTCAGGGAGACCCTGTCTCTCAATAAAATACCGAAATAGGGCTGGGGACGGGGCTCAGGGGTTGAGGACCCCTGAGTTCAATTCCTGGTACCAAAGGGGTAAAATATCCACGTCCTCGGACCTTGGGTGTCGGAGTGCAGAGGGACCTTCAACAGAACTTTCTAGAAAGGGCTCCCAAGAGTGGCCTCCAGGAGTCTGGGGGCCTTCAAAAGTCAAGGAGCCCCTCACTCCAAGAATCCAAACTAAATCCCCCCTCTCCATGACCTTGCCACCTCCCAGACCCTCCCTGGGCCCCTTTCAGCACCATGGAGAGCGCCCGGGCCCATGTTGGGCAGCTGGGGAGGGTCTCCAGGTTCAAATCTTTGCTGCAAAGACAGTGACCTTGGTCTTGGGACAAGATGGTGTAATCTTAAAATGTCCCCTGGAGGGGGGCAAGCCACCCAGGATCCAGGGCCAGGGGGTGGGGGACAAGTGGGTCCCCTCACCCATCTGTCCTGCACCTCCTGGATCCTTTTTAACGGGTGCCAAGTATTCCACCGTGGTTAGGGAGCTGATGGGAAGCAGCAAGTGTTTTCTCGAATTATTGAACTCGAAAGAGAGAAAAAAAACATCAAAATCCTCTCTTTGTACCAGGTCCCCACAGAGCTGCTCCCTCCTCCTCCTCCTC